TGATTTAGTTTTTTTAATTCTCTTACTTTCAGCCTGAATACGTCTTTATATTTAAAAATACACGCTAATTTGATTCAGTCATGTCCGACTCTTTGCGACCCCATGGACTGTTGCCCACCAAGCTCCTCATGGGATTCTCCAGGCAAGAGTACTAAAGTGGCTTGCCATGCCCTCCCCCAGGGATTTAAAAATGCATTCCTTATAAATAGCATATAGTTGAGTTTGCTTTTTATCCAGTGTGACTGTCTCTTCCCTTTAACTGGAGAGTTAGTATATTTATATTTAATGTAATTATTGATGTGGATGTGTTTATGTCCACTGTCATGCTATTTGGATTTCATTTGTCTCTTTTGCTTCTCTTCATTTCTCTATTGTTTCTTTCCTATCCTCTTTTAGGTTAATAAAATATTGCTTAGTTTTCCATTTTATTTCCTCCGTTTACTTCTTAGTTATACCTCTGTTTAACTATTTATTTTAGTTGTTGCTCTAGGGCTAACTCTGTGTGTTCTTAGTTATGGTAGTCTATTTAGAATTAATATTATATCTCTTCATGCTTCACCTATAACATAGTTTCCCCATAGTTTCTCCTTCCCACTTCTTACTTCAGATCTGTCACTTTCCAGTTCCCACTTTCTGTTTCCTGATTCACACTTCCCACTTCACAAGTGTAATAACCTCACAACAGCAAAATTTTATTTAACTGCACACTTTGTTCTTTGCAAGACTATTGTCTTATCTTTTACCTATGCTGTAAGACTTTTCTTTATAATGCTATAATTATTTTTGCTTTAATAAACAGGACTATTTCTTGTAACTTATGAGAAGAATGAGAATATAGTCTTTTACATTTGCTCATTTGTTATTTCCAGTGGTTCTCATTCATGTGGACCTGAGTATTTTCATCTGGTATTATTTTCCTTCAGCCTGAAGACCATTCTTTCACTCTGCTTTTATTTATTTAAAAATGTCTTTATTTTATCCTTATTCTTAACATTTTTTGCTGATAATAGAATTCTGTTTTGACAGTTATTTTCCTTTTAGCACTTTAGAAATATTGTCCCATTGTTTTCTGGTCAGCAATCATTTTTCCCCCTTGTTTCTCTGTTCATCTTTTGTTTTCAAGCTGCCTTCAATATCTTCTGTTTTTTCCGCTTGGTCTCCAAAAGTTTGGTTACGATGTACATATTGTGATTCCCTTTATGTTAATATTGCTTGGAGTTTGCTGAGCTTCTTGGAATTGTTAAGTCGAAGTTTCTCAGTGTACCGGGCAAGTTTTTGGCTGTTGTTTCTTCAGATGTTTTTTTCTGCTTCAGTTTCATTCTCTTTATCATTTGAAACTCCAATTACACATGTGTTAGATCATTTGATACTGTGCCAAATATCAATATGCAGCTCTTTCATTTTTTATTCAGCCTTTCTCCCTGCTTTTCCTTATTTTTGTGCTGTGCTTAGACTCCAGTTCTCTTTATTATGGTCAGAAAATTGTCTCTAGGCAGAGAGCCAGGATGAAAACAAGACTAAATCACTGATACTAATAACCTGTCTTCAAGTTCACCAACTCTCTGTCATCTCCAATCTTCTGTTAAGTTGAACGAGTGATTTTGTTTTTGTTTCAGTTATTGTACTTTCTAGTTCTAGACCTTTCATTTGCATCTTTTTGTAATTTCTGTTTGCTACCGAAGTTCCATATCTGTTCACTCATTATTACTTTTTCCTTTAATTATTTGAACGTTTTTTTTTTACTTCTTTGAATGTAATAACTGCTAATAGCTACTTTAAAGTGTTTACTTACCAAGTCCACAATCTGGATCACGTTTCCCATTTTCTTTGTATGTGTCAGTGATTTTATTAATTGAATGCTGGACATTGTGGATAATATATTTTGAGACTCTGGATTCTCTTATTTTGTTTGGGAAAATATTAATTCTTTTATCTTGCAGTTTAAATACTGACTGGTCACAGTGAGTTTGTGCAGACTTGGTTTTATGCTTTGTTATTAAATGTCTATTCAAAGCCTGTGGCTTTTCCCAAGCCCCTCTAATTTGGTGGAACTCAGTCTCTAAATTTTATCTCCTTGTGGATCTTGTTGGGGTTTAGAATTAGTTTTTATTAGAGTGAGACTAGAGTAAGTCTTATTTTAGGGTATGACCCTTGTTTCTAAAGGACTTCCCAGGTGGCACAGTGGTGAAGAATCTGCCTGCCAGTGCAGGAGACACTAGAGACTTGATTTGATCCCTGGGTCAGGAAGATCACCTGGAGGAGGAAATGGTAACCCACTCCAGTATTCTTGCCTGGAAAATCCCATGGACAGAGGAACCTATTCATGGCTACAGTCCTTGGGGTTGCAAAGAGTTGGACACAACCAAGCCACTGAGCACCTTGTTCCTTAAGAGTGGTATTTCTGGAAATCTCCATTCAGGAAGGGCTGGAACTCCAGCAGACTCCAGCACTTCCCTGTTCCCAATGGTGCTCAACCTCTAGTATCTCTTTTACTTCCACCTTTGTAGGAAATGCTATCAAGAAAATTATGGATGTCTTGCCCGAGATATACACCCAGCCCTCACTTACGAACTTATGGGGTCCCCTTTCTGCAAATTTCTCTCTGATACACTTCCCTGCAGATTCCAACCTTTTCAGCTGCCAGGAACTCTGATCTCTGCCCCCTCAGCATGGTGTGACCACTGTGCTGTGTTTGGAAGTCAGCTGTCTTTATTTCTCCAGTCAGGAAACTGACTCTCTGCAAAAGGCCGGAGAAATCACAGACTTTTCTCATGAGTTTCCCTTTTCTCAGAAATTGAAATCTTACACGGCTTTTTGTCCACTGCCTGGGAACAGTTGCTTCATGTATTTTGTCAATTTTATACTTGTCTCCAGGAATGGACCACCTATTCCTTCTGTCATCTCTCCCTTAAAGTCCCAGAAACTTTTGGCTCTCCATCCTTAGACCCCTTGAGTTTCCTTTTAGAACACAAATGGGAATAAACATTTCATCCATTTAGGTGAGAGGAGAATGGAAGAAAGAAGGCATCAAGCTGCTGCTTGTGATTGGGTTTTGTTAGCTGGAGGCATGGGAGAGTCTTCCATGAGCAGGTGTTTTTTTCTGGTTGCTGTTCACAGCAGCCTTGACAGGTGACCAGGAGATGGGGTTGTGTGAGCACTCGGGGCTTTGGTTAGAGAGCTGGTGAGCCTCACTTGCAAGTGTGTGCAGCAGCAAGTGGAAGCCAAGATTTAGAGCTCAGCCATGTGTATGGGGGATGGGGGTCTTGGCTCTGCACCAATGTTTCAGCCATGAGTTGTGACCAGATGCCCTGTTGTATCGCCCCATCATGATATGTTTGTTTGCTCGTCTGCGGAAGAAGGGCTATTAACCTGGGACTGAGAGAGAGGTGAGCTCATAGAGAAGCAGTGTGGGGTCACACACAAAGACCTGGGTTCTAATTAGAATTAAAATCACTACAAGTGCTCTTGGGTAAATAACTTAATTTTTTTGAGCCTTGGTTTCATTAATTCTAAAAGGGGAATCATAATGCCTATTGTATCCAGTCTTAAAGATAATTGTGAGAAAATAAAAGAATGTATGAAACTGTTAGTCGCTCAGCCTTGTCTGACTCTTTGGGACCCCATGGACTGTAGCCCGCCAGGCTCCTCTGTCCATGGGATTTTCCAGGCAAGACCACTGGAGTGGATAGGCATTCCCTTCTCCAGGGGATCTTCCTGACTGCAGAACTGAATCCAGGTCTCCCTCATTGTGGGCAGATTCTTTACCGTCTGAGCAGTAGCCCCTAAGAGTATGTTCATGAAAACTATTTTATCTAACCCAGTTTCCAAATCATTTTCTGAGAGTAAGAGAGTCAATGGCATGAAACTTCTGGCAATTTCGTCATTGTTCATTTTCTGGGTTTTAGAAAAAAAGTGTAGATGGAACCAGTTGACTGGGAAGACTTAAGCCTTCGCAGAAGAAAGGAATATTAGGATTTGGGTCTGTGAGAGTAACCGAAGTAGGCTGCTGAGATGAGGTGGTGAGTGACCAGGCCTTTTCTGAAGCCCTCAGCACTGTGCCAGAGGCTGCGGAGAACACAGCAGAAGAGAAGGTAGATTTATTTCCAACCCTCTGTGGGCTGTAGTGTCCTCAAGGAGTAAGATTGGGTCCTGCAAACTGATGCTTTAGCAGAAGCAGCCATGTGGGTAAGTTGGTGACTGGGCGATATTGAGAGGTAAGAGGAAGGTCTGAGGAGGAGGCAAATGCCCACTGTTGCCTTTCCCAGCCCTGTTCACCTTCAGGCAGGATGAACCTCATTCTGTCAGCTTTGATCAGTTCCTCTCCCAGATCGGGCTTTACCAAGGCAGGTAGTTCTCTACCCTCCAGCTGGTAGGATCGTGACACAAATCAGGCTCCTCCAAGCGTGGGGTCTGGTAAACTGGGTAGACTTGGGCCACGTACCTGCAGTCTTCCCTTCAGCATGTCCTGTGCAGTCCTGCCGTGGGTTTACTGATACTCTGCTTTCTTGATTTGCCTTCCAGCATCTCCGTAGGGCAGGAGGCCATCCCTGAGCCATAGTTGATTGGCTAAGCTGGACTTTACAGAGGCACAGCACCTCTTGAGCCATGACACAGAATGGATATGGTTGCATTTGGGAAGCCAGGGTAGGTGAAAGTTGAAATTAGGGTAGAATTATAAAGGTAAAGCTGTTTAGGTGGAACTGTATCGGCTAGATGCCTGGGGAAATGGTGATGCAATGGGTAATTAGCTGGAAACAAAAGCATCTTGTTGTCAATCTGCTGGTCTTGGAGTTCAAGTAGTGGGCAACTAAAGAAGGGAATGGTCCTCACCTTAAGTTGATTGGCTAGAAAGCGCTGCCCCAAGTAAAGAGCCATCCTTCAGGCCTTGGTGTTTTGGTCAGGGTCCTGGCTGGAAGGTGATGAATACTCAAAGGGTTTAATTGAAGAGAGCATGATGAAGGGACTGTTAACAGAAGTATGGGGAGAAATAAGAGACTCACCATGAACTGATGAATAAATTCAGAGGCGAGCAACAGCTGGGAGATGTTATACCTGACAGAGGGAAGGGGAAAGACCGATGTTTAAGAAACCTGGTGAGGACTGTGGCTATGGGAGGGGCTGCCCGGCAGGAACTGTGGCTACACACACACACACAGACACACAAAGTCCTTTTGAATGCAGACACCGCTTTAACTGTCCTCTTGGGGCACCAACAAACAAACGTCAATAATTTTTATTTTTTATTATTTTTAATGACAAACATTTACTCTTGAAAAAAATTTTTTATTAGAGTATGGTTGATTTACAATGTGGTATTAGGTTTAGGTGTGCAGCCAAGTGAACCAGTTATACATGTACTTATATGCACACTTTTTCAGACTCTTTTTCCCATATAGATCATTTCAGAGTGTTGAGTGGAGCTCCCCGTGCTGCAGAGCAGGTCTATTTCATATATAGTAGGGTGTATGTGTCAGTCTTAATCTCCCAGTTTTATCCCTCCCTCCCCACCCCCTGCTAACTATAAGTTAAACAAACGTCAGTAGGGGCCAACAACAGGCATATGTTCCCCCAAACAGGAACAAGCCTGTCATGTTTGAATGCAGCAAGAGGGTCACTGTGATTGGAACGTAATGAACATTTGAACATTAAAAGATAAGACTGGAGCGATAGGGACAAAATCCTGTGGTGCCTTCTAGGCTATGGTAAGAAGCTTGGGTTTTTATTCTGTGTGATAGAGTCATTGGAGGACACGCTCTGATTTATATTTTAATCCAGCTACAGTGTTTCAAAATACAGGTGAGAAATGATGGGGATTAAAGTAGAAGCCGTGAAGGTGGTGGGCAGTGTTAGATTCTAGATATATGTTCCTTATGGAGCTGGCTTAACTTGCATGTGGATTGCATGTGGATGGGGGTGAAGGAGCAAGAGGAATTCTGGGTGACTGCGGTTGGGAGATGTTGGTGTTATTATCTGAGACAGGGGAGACTTGAGGAGAGTGCAGAAAGAATGCAGTATTTTTGTATAAAGCAGCTTGAGGTATTTCTGATTTAGAAAGCTATTTGAGTCTTGAGTTTGGAAGAGGTCAGGACTGGAGATATAAATTTGGGAGCCAGCATCACAGATAGTATTTAAAACTATGAATTTGCATGCAGTCACTTAACGAGTGACCCTAGGTAGCCAGGGGAAAAAAACCTTGGAGCGTTTGTTATGAAACAAAGAGGCAGAGAAGAGACAGCAGAGACTGACCACTGAATTAGGAGGAAGCAAGGATCCTGCAGTGTTACTGAGGCCAGAATAGAAGTGTTTCACAAATCAGGGGCTAGTCTACACTGTTGAATGCACGTGAGGGATGTGACGGTAAACTGACCCTCGGATTTGGTGATACGAGGATCATTGGGGACCTCTCCATAAGCAGTGTTAGTAGAGTTAAAGGAGAATGGAATGTGAGTAAATGATGTTCTGCAACTATTAGGAGATGAATGCCTCAGTTTTCCTCTTCTTTTGTACCCACTGTATATACTGTTTCTAACATGATATAATTTTTAGATTTTTCTTAATTTTTTTCCCAGTCAACCACCTCTAAATGAGCTCAGGTGTTTCTAAGTAATGCCCAGAACTAAATATAATACTCCACGTGTGATCTGTCCCACGTGAAATATATCGGGGGAAATGATTCCTTTCATTCTCAGGATTCTCTGTCTATGACTCCAGCCTAAGATAGATAGCATGTCTTTATTTTTTTATGACAGACAGATTGAACTTTTGATTGATATTTAGTTATCATCTAAGAGCTCTAAATCTTTAACACACTATTTCAAAGCCATTTCTCCATCCTGTTATTAAATGGATGGTGTTTTCTCTCGTTTGTTTGTTGTTGTGTTTGTTTTTTTGGATTCAAGTGCTGTACTTGAAGCTTGTCACTGTTTCGCTTCATCTCGTTTGTTTGATTTGGCTTGTTGAAGTTTATTTTGGGTCCAGATTCTGTCCCTCAGGGACATCTTTTTATAAACCAGTTCCTATGCCTTCATCCAAGTCATTAATAAACACGTTAATTGCTTCTCATATTTTGTGAAAGTGGGTGGGCATAAACTATCAATTACTGATGTATGTGCTGTGTTTAGTTGCTCAGTCGTGTCTGACTCTTTGCGACCCTATGAACTGTAGCCTGCCAGGTTCCTCTGTCCATGGGGGAATTCTCCAGGCAAGAATACCGGAGTGGGTGGCCATACCCTCCTCCAGGAGATCTTACCAACCCAGGGATTGAACCCAGGTCTCCACACTGCAGGAGGATTCTTTACCATCTGAGCCACCAGGGAAGCCCAAGAATCCTGGAGTGGGAGCCTGTCGCTTCTCCAGGGGAGCTTCCTGACCTAGGAATCGAACATGGGTCTCCTGCATTGCAGGCAGATTCTTTACCAGCTGAGCTACAGGGAAGCCCTATAAATTACTGATAGATACACATGGACAGGCCAAATGCTGTTTAAACACAATTTAAGAGGGAGGAAGGCCTTGCAAAGTCAGAGGGTCTGGTTCTTACTTGCTCAAGATCACAGGCGGCAATGATGCTTCTGTCACCTGGATGTGTCTAGTCTGGTTCCCCAAAGCTCTTTCCGAGATGCATTGTTCTCTCGTCATCCTATCGTGAACCTCTCTGGCTGGGCTATTATCCTGCGCATCTTTCTCTGTCATGTTCTCAAAGGTCTCATGGGAAACTTGGCTTACTACCCCACTAAAATCAAGATTCTTTATATCTTTCTATGAATCACATGTCCAGCAGCCTGATCAACAAAAGTTACAGTATGGTTCTAATTTAAAAAATAAGAAAGTAACTTCTAATTATTAATCTTTGTTTAGCACATTGTCGTCTTCAGAGCGCTTTAATCTGTGTTTTCTCACTTAGCTGTCACACTGAGCCATCACAATAACCTAGTGACCTAGGATACTTCATTTTGCAGATAAATTCATCATGAAAGAAGATAATAGTTTAGCCTAGGTTTCAGGACTGCTTATGAAGGGCCAAACTAGGGTCCAGACCACTGACATGGGAGCCTGGGAATGGGGACCTGGACAGGTGGTGGAGGTCACCGTTGTTCACAGGTGATGGGGGGGAGAGGAAAGCTGAAGCTGGGTGCTCCCCTGGTGCTCCCCAGGCTCTGTTGGACCAAGCAGAGTAGCACCAGGTATGTGGCAAAAGACTGTGCTCAGGTGTCCATCACTTATGGGGAACTCTTCTTTGGCACATCCTGGGGCCTGCCTTTCCCAGGCTCAAGATGGAGCTGGGCGGAGACCATATTGTTTGGATGTTATTATACTGGTGAGCGCTGAAGAATTGATGCTTTTGAACTGTGGTGTTGGAGAAGACTCTTGTGACTGAGTGACTGAACTGAACTGAACTGATACTGGTGGGTGGGTGGGGCCAGGGCAGAAAAGAACCAGCAGTGAACAAGTGCTCATTCCTGATGATCACATCTTTCTTTCTTTCTTTTTTTTTTTTTTTAAAGCAACCGCACCACTTGTGTATCAGTCTGTTTTGGAGCTTTTCTATGAATCTGTGCAGGTTAGAGCTGGTCGTATGCCAGTCTTCCATTTAGAGGTCCAGTTCTATAAAGGACCAGTGATAGTGATTCTTGAACAAGTCTTCAGGTTACTGAAATGTCCTTAAACGCAGGATTTTGATATTTAGGCAGACTTGAGTTCAGAACTACGTCTGTACTTACTGGGAACTTGGACACGTTTCTTAAACTCTTATTTATTCATCTGTAAATTGGGGGATAATGATAGTACATATAGGCATACTTTGTTTTATTATGCTTCACTTTATTGTGTTTCCCAGATACTGTTTTTTTTTAACAAGTTGAGGATTTACGGTAACCCTGCATTGAGCAAGTCTGTCAGGGCCATTTTATTCCAACAGCATTGCTGACTTCTCTCTGTGTCACATTTTGGTAATTCTACCAACATTTCAAACTTTTCATTGTTATTATATTTATTTGGTAACTTGTGACCAGTGATCTTTGGTGTTACTTTTGTGACTTGCTGATGTCTCAGACGATGGTTAGCATTTTTTAGCAACAAAATTCTTTTAAATTAAGGCATGTACATTTTTTAGACATCATGTTATCGCACACTTAATAGGTTATAGTATACTGTAAACACAGTTCCTTTTTTGGTTGTGCTCCAGGCTTGTGGGATGTCAGTTCCTGTCCAAGGATTGAACCTGGGCCACTGCAGTGAAAGCCCAGAATCCTAACCACTCCCTAAGCGTAACTCTTACATGTACTGGAAAACAAAACAAACAAAAAAAAGAAAATGTGTGTGACTCGCTTTATTGCAATACTTGCTTTATTGTAATGGGCTTCCCTGATGGCTCAGTGGTAAAGAACCTGCCTGCCAGTGCTGGAGACGTGGGTTCAACTCTTGGGTTGGGAAGATCCCCTGGAGAAGGAAATGGCAACCCACTCCAGTATTCTTGCCTGGGTAATCCAATGGACAGAGGAGCCTGGTGGGCTACGGTCCATGGGGTCGCACAGAGTCAGTCACGATTCAGTGACTAAACAACCACCACCACCACAACAAATTGTCTGGAATGGAATCTGCAATATCTTTGAGGTCATATATAAATATATATATGTACTGTATATATTGAAGAAGGAAATGGCAACCCACTCCAATACTGTTGCTTGGAGAACTCCAAGGACAGAGGAGCGGGACAGGCTGTAGTCCATGAAATCACAAAGAGTCGGACTGTGCAACTAACTTTCACTGTATATATATGTATTATATGTATATGTACTGTGTATATATGTACTGTATATAGATACTATATGTATAGTTAGTGGGGACTAACGGAGAAGGCAATGGCAACCCACTCCAGTACTCTTGCCTGGAAAATCCCATGGACGGAGGAGCCTGGTAGGCTGCAGTCCATGGGGTCACTATGAGTCGGACACGACTGAGCGACTTCACTTTCACTTTTCACTTTCATGCATTGGAGAAGGAAATTGCAACCCCTTCAAGGGTTCTTGCCTGGAGAATCCCAGGGACGGGGGAGGCTGGTGGGCGCCGTCTATGGGGTCGCACAGAGTTGGACACGACTGCAGCGACTTAGCAGCAGCAGCAGCAGCATTGGGAACTAACTTAGTTAATCGTATCAAAGGTTTAACATAATACACTCAGAACTCAATAAACACTGACCATTGTTGTTGAGTTACCATCATACATGTGGTGTTAGTTTAAGAGACTGGCTTCTTCTTTACTGTTTCCTTTCCCCTATAAGGTTTGTTTCATCTTAGCCCCATTTGCCTTACCCTTTTCAGTTTGAGGATCATTCACCTTGGTGGAAGAGATGAAAAGCAAGAATAAAGTTGAGTACCTCTGCCTTCTCTCTGTCATCTTTTAACTTTCCATCATCCTACAAAGCTGTTTCTATCACTTCCTGGATCGTTTTCTTTTGAACCCAACTTTAACAAGTCTTTCAACCATTTTTTTCTTAGACTTGAGCCACTTTTCTTATAAGTTCATCCTCCTGTTTTCATAACTGTCCTGTTTTTATATATTAGAAGTGTATCCTACTTTTATGGGCTTCCCTGGTGGCTCAGATGGTAAAGAATCAGCCTGCCATGCAGGAGACCTGGATTTGATCCCTGGGTTTGATCCCTGGGTTTGGGAAGATCCTCTGGAGCAGGGCAGGGCAACCCATTCCAGTATTCTTGCCTGGAGAATCCCATGGACAGAGGAGCCTGGTGGGCTACAGTCCATGGGGTCGCAAAGAGTCATACATGACTGAGCGACTAAGCACACACATCCTACTTTTATACATTTTCTGATATAATCTGATTTAATCATGGACTTCCTGGGTATCCATGGTGTCCCTTAAATGTCTGCATTGGGATTATTGCCCTTCCCAGGTGGCACAGTGGTAAAGAATCAGCCTGCCAGTGCAGGATATGCAAAAGACTCGGGTTCAATCCCTGGGTCAGGAAGATTTCCTGAAGAAGGAAATGGCAGCACACTCCAGTATTCTTGCCTGGGAAGTCCCATGGACAGAGGAACCTGGCGGGCTACAGTCCATGAAGTCTCATAAGAATCGGACAGGACTGAGCTACTGAGCATTGGGATAGTTAGCTATTAAACAGCCAGAATCAAATCATTTAAAGCAGTGCGTTACATCTCTTTTCAATCACATTGCTGTTCTAGAAATGTCTGTAGACTCAAATGCATTATTTCCAAACTTTTAATTTAACCTCAGAAATCATCTTACTAAATGACACATCTTATTCTTCACTGCATCCCGTTTCTTTAGTATAAATTCCAGGAGGATGCGGTCATTTTCTCATAGGGCTATCATTAATTCTACATACCCATCTAGGGCAAGCATCCTTCAACTATAGCCTGTAGACTCAATTGGGTCTGCTATTTGTTTTTGTAAAATAAAGTTTTATTGAAATACAGCCTTGTTCACTTGTTTACCTATTGTCTGTGGCCGCTTTTACATTACAAAGGCCAAGATGAATAGCTGTGTCAGAGCCTGTATAGCTCACAAAGTGTAAAATATTTCCCGCTACAGGGGGAAAAAAAAATTGGCTGGCCCACTGCTAGGGCTTCCTGAGGGAGGAACCTTAACCCCTCACTTGCAGCAGCTCTTCTCAAAGATTTCCTAGCCTTCTGGGAAATACTGCTGTCAAAAGGAAAAAATCAGATACCCTGTTTTAAAAGAATTAAACTTCTAGCATGTCTAAATAAATGAAATCTCATCTCACAAACATATCTTGCCTCTCTGCCAGTTTTGTGATCTCTTTCAGGAAATATTTTCAATATCCTCTGTCAGGCTGAGATGCTTGGTGGTCTTACTGTGATACTATTTTCTGTCTTATTTGCCCTTTGATGCAAATGCTCTCAGCCGTGGATCCTGGTTCGTGAATTTCCAGACAAGTCGACAACACCTTAAATGCCTTCTTCCCATGTTTGCGTTTCATAATGCTAGCAGAGCCAGGTGGGAGCCAAGTCTTTTGAATTTGTTCGTTTGTCGCTTGCCAGCAGGGACAAACACACTTGTCTGCTTCTTACGCTTTCATTGTGGGACAGACTCCCCTGCTCTCAGCAGTCTCAGACAACACTATATGGAGACCATCTCGTATAATGCCCACCTTGTACAACGACCCTCTGGTTCCAGCTTCTCCCCAGTACCATTCTGCTCAGTGGCTGGAACCAGAGGGTCACTGTACAAGGTGGGCGTTATACGAGATGGTCTCCATATAGTGTTGTCAACTGAAGATAAGACCACACTGGCCAGGACAATAGTTGCTTCTGCTACTTGGCGAGAAAGGACTGGGTACCTTGTTTAGGGGTGGATCGTGGCTTCAGAGGACATAAGCTGGCAAGGAGCAGTGGCTCAGGCATTAAGCCAGGTCCAGAGCAAGAGAGATGAACTTATTCATCAAACACATCAGGGTGGGATGCTGCATTGTTGCTGTTGGGTGTGTATGACTGAAGCAGGTGCAACTCCTGATGGGTCCCTGCCCCGACCATTCCATCTCCATCACCATCACCCTCTCATTTCTGCCTTCAGACTGCTCTTCTCTTCTGCCCCCTTCTTGGTCTGATTGTGCCCCTGCTGGATTTACTTCCTTAATAAGCCACTACTGCATACAGACAGAAACTCAGAGTCCTCTTTTTCTTGGCTCTTTTCC